TCATAATAATATTAATTGTAGTGATCATTAAATAGAACAATCTCATTTAACAATGAATATTCATTGAAATATAAAATAATATAACACAATGATAAATAGATGATTATTTGTTGTTTATGTAAATAATGAAAGAATATTGAAAATTATAATAAATTTCACAAAAAATATAAATAATATGTCAACCCTTAATAACCCTTATTTTCCATTTATATTATACATTTTAAAGAAATTTTTAAAATTAAAATAAAAATTTTTAATTTATTTTCTAAATTTAAGAAACCCTAAAAAAAATACAAAAAATGAAAAATAAAAAAAAAGAAAAATAAAAAAAAAGAAAAAGAAAAAGAGAAGAGATGGATGATACTGCTTCTAAACAAAAGACATTCAAAGATTTAGGATTAATTCCTGAAGTGTTAAAAGTAGTAGAGTATTTAGGATATAAGAAACCAACAAAAATTCAAGAAAATTCTATTCCAGTTGCATTACAAAAGAAAGATATTATTGGAATTGCACAAACAGGAAGTGGAAAAACAGCATCATTTCTACTTCCAATGATTCAACATTTATTAAATGTTAAAGAAAAGAATAGAGCATTTTATTGTATTATTATTGAACCAACAAGAGAATTAGCGGCACAAGTAGTTGAAGTATTAGATGAAATAGGAAAAGCACTTCCTGGATTAATGTCATGTTTATTAGTAGGAGGAATGGATGTAATGAAACAAAGTGTTCAACTTGCAAAAAGACCACATGTAATTGTTGGAACACCAGGAAGAATAGTTTATCATATTAAAAATACAAAAGGAGTTGAAGAATCAATTCAAAAAGTTAAATTTTTAGTAATTGATGAAGCTGATAAATTACTTGAGATGGATTTTGCAAATGAAATTGATTATTTAATTGAAAAATTACCAAGTCAAAGAACAACAATGTTGTTTTCAGCAACTATGTCAACAAAAGTTGAAAAATTACAACGAGCATCATTAACACATCCTGTTAAAATTAAAGAAGAAGAACAAAAATATCAAACAGTTGATACATTAAGACAAGAATATTGTTTTATTCCATTTAAATATAGAGATGGATATTTATTAAGTATATTAAAAGAAACAGAAGGAAAATCAATTATTATATTTACTATGAAATGTTCAGGATGTACAAAATTAGTAATGATGTTAAGACAATTAGGATATGCAGCAATTCCATTACATGGGAAAATGAGTCAACAAAAACGATTAATTGCATTAGAAAAATTTAAAAGTGGGAAAAGAGGGATTTTGGTTGCTACAGATGTTGCATCAAGAGGACTTGATATTCCAAATGTTGATATTGTTATTAATTATGATTGTCCACTTGAACCAAAAGATTATATTCATCGAGTTGGAAGAACTGCAAGAGCAGGAAAAAGTGGATATGCAATTACACTTGTAACACAATATTCAATTGAATTATATCAACGAATTGAAACAATGATTGAAAAGAAATTAAATGAATATAAAGTAAATGAAAAAGAAGCAATTGCATATTCACAAAAGGCAAATGATGCAATGAGAATTGTTAGTCAACAACTTAAAGAAGAAGCACAAAAGAAAAAAGAAAAACTTCAAAAAGGACAAAAAAAATTAAATGAAGAAGAAGATAATGATGAATAAATAAATTAATTAATTGATTGATTATTAATTTTATTATTGTAAAGAAAAAATACTAATTTCAAAACATAAAAATCCATTATTAATTGGATGAATAAATTGTAATGATGGAAATTTTCGATTTAATTGAATTAAATATTTTTGTAATTCAATCATTTTTCTATGATATTGATTTTTAAAACAACAATTTGTTAATCCACAACTTATACATGAAAAACTTTCTTCAATAATTGTTTTCCATGTAATAGTTTCTGCTTCAATAAAATATTGATTTATTTGATTTATAATTATTTCAAATTCATTATTTTCAATTAATCCAGCTAATTGTTGTGGTCTTGTTGTAAAGAATCTTGGTGTAAGTCCTTTTGAATAATCTCTATCTATACTCACAATTTGATATTGTGGTGTTTGCATTAAATAAATTTTTTTTATTTTTATATATTTTATTATTTATATTTATTTATTATTATATAATAAATATTATTATTAAAAAGAAACTAAATTAAATAGAAAGAACAATAATTGTTCCAATATCATCTGATGCTACTACTTTCATATTATTATCAGTTTCAATAGCACTAATTGATATAATTTTAGATGGACAACAATTCATTATTTTTCCATTTGAACTTTTATTAAAATGAATTGGTTTTGAGTTAAATGGAATTATATCAAGAGATCCATCTTCAAATCCAAGAATTATTTTATTATTAATTCCTTTCATTGCAGTAATTGATTTATTAATAAATTGACCATAATCTCTTTCATATGTTTTTGTATTAATAATATACATTTGACCAGATGGTGTTCCAACAATAATATTTTCTTTAACATAACATAATCCAGTAATTTTTTCATTACAAACTTCAATTAAATGTGTTTTGAAATTACCTTTTTCTCCATTAACAATAAATACTTTACCTTCTCTTCCACCTACAGCAAAAATTCCTTTTTCAAATATTAAACATTGAATTTCATCTTCTTCACCAAATGGTAAAAAGGAATCAACTACTTTATATGTTTCTCCATTTTTTTCCCATAAATATAAAGTTTTAGCTGGTATTGGTTGTGTAGTAAATTTACTTGGTTTAAGATATAATCCACCAGTAACAATATATTGTTCATCTTTACTTACAACAATATGTGTTACTTCACTTTGTTGGTCAAGTAATTTATTTGTTTCAGGCCAAAGTGTATGATAATGTAATTCTTCTTCAGGAGGTGCAGTCATATAGATTTTAGGAACACTAGCAACAGTAATATCATTTTCTATAGGTAATTCATCACTATCAGGAATAACTAATGTTTTTATATCAAATTGTAATTTTGTAGGTGATTGAACTTGAGATTGTCTACTACTTCCAGTATGTTCTTTTAATGGACAATTTGTTAATGAAAGTGGTTGATGATTAGCTCCAATTGGTGATTTATCATAATAAATCATATCTTTTTCAGAAAGATTTGATTTTGTGATATATCTTAATGTTTCAATAAAATATTTTGATGCTTCTAATATTCTAACTGGTTTTTCTTCAATACTACTAGTAAGAACACGAATAGGATTATTAATTAATACAGCTTGTGATAATGGATATCCATGAACTAATGGTCTTGCAATTTCTACCCAATGTTCTTGTGTTTTATTATCTACATTAATATTTTTAACAAAAAATCTTATAGTATAATCAAGTGAAGAAGATATAATAGCAAGATTAGATGGTATTGTTGGTAATGGATAAAGTTCTACAGAAGAAACTGCTTGAGAATGTCCTGTTGGAAGAACAATTTGAGTTGGAATAGTATAAGAATTATCTAATTTCCATCCATGTAAATGACACATATTAGTTAATGCAATAAGAATTCTATTATTTTCATTAAAAGTAAAACGAATATATCTTTCATCTCCAACTCCACCAAGTCTTACTGTTGATAACCATAAATCATTTAATTGGAAGAATTGAATTGAACAATCAATTGAAGAAGCAATAAATGTATTATTTCCATGACATGATATACCACTAATTCTTAAATCACTAACAGAAACAACAGATTCAACTTCTAATGTTGGATATTGATGAATATAAACTTTACCTGAATCAGTTCCTATAAATACTCGTGTTAAATCATCACTTTGACATAATGCAGTTACCCATGTTTTATTTCCTGGAATTCTTCTTTCATTTGTTCCTTGTTTAATAACTAAAGTACCTGATGCATCAGTAAGGGCATAAGCAATTGAAGGGAGTTCATTTTTTGGATTACCAAAAAGAGTTGCTGTTTCAATAAGAATTTTACTTGAGATATCTTCAATAATTTTACCTTCAAGAGTAATTAATAATACTCTTAATGGTGATAATATAAGTAAATAATTTTCATAATTCTTTATATTAATAATAGGATATTCTCCAATAGAAATAATTCTTGTTTTTTTATCTTCTTCTAAATTATATAATTCAACTATTCCTCTTTCTGTTCCAATAGCAATAGTTGTGTCATTAATAACTTCTATTGAACGTACTGTTTGTTTAAAATCAATAATACTCATAATAGAACTCTTTTCAATATTAACAATACCAACAACATGTGCATTTCCAAAGAAATATTTCTTACCATCTTTACTAAATTTTAAATTACATTGAATATTTGGTCCTAATGATATAAACTCTGTCATAGAAAATAAATGTTTGTAAATAAAATTATTAAGTTAGTTCAGATAATTCATTGACTTGTCAAAGGGTTGAAAATGGGTTGATTCAATAATTCTAATAACAAAATATTAAATAATATTCTATGTTTTGTTTTAAAGAAGTAAAAACACTAATTTGTAATATAATATTTATAATACATTAAATATTATTTTGTTTTTCTTATTTAACGAGTTATTTAAGAAAAAGGTTTGAAAGAATAAAAATGATATAACACTATGTAAATTTTATTTCATTAAATAGTATATCTAATTATATTCATATTACTCTTTAATACAAATAAATTTTTTTATTATTTTAGGATTTAGTTAAATTAAGAATGAAAGAACTTCATTAAAAAAGTGAGAAATGTTCCTTCTATTTATCATATCCTTTTGTGTAGAAAGTACAATAGGTGAATTGATCACTGATTTTAATTCTATTCAACACCAACCAAGAAAATTTAATAGAAAACTATTTGTTGTTGTAGAAAATGATAGAGAAATAAAAATTGCTAATGAACACAATGACAGAATTGACCAAATAATAATAAAAGGATTTAGTATAGATTCAATTCAAACAGGAATTCCAAAAGTTCAAGGAGTATGGAACTATTCAATAAATTCAAAAGAACGATTTGCTCATATCAAATTTGATAATTTTGTAAATATTATAAATCTATCATTTGAAATTGCAAATTCAATTGTAGAGTTTGTAAAAAAATATAATTTAGATGGTATTTGTCTTGAAGGTCTTGAAAATGTGTTTTATATTACAGGAAGGTCATCACGTGATGTACGTTTAATACTTAGAAGAATTGGAATAGAATTACATAATATTAACAAGAAAGTGTATGTCATTATTCCTGTTTGTTTATTATTTGTTTTTTATATTATATAACATTAATTGAATATAGCCAAGAAGTGTTGCTATTAGTGGTACAACAATCAATTCTTTACAAAACTATATTGATGAGTTCATTATAGATACAACAGATTATTACAGTAAAAGTCTTCATTCATCTCATTGTTCATCTCCATTGATGTATGTTGAAAATCTTATCAAAGATTGTACTTCAAAAAATAAAGAACTTAAAAGTATGACATCTATTTCTATTGACCTATCTGGATATAAGTTCTGTCCAAACTATCCTCGTTCTTCAATTAATATTACATCCTTTCAAACTATTCTTCATAATCTTACTAATTCAACTTGGATAGAAGAATGTCAAGAACATAGTTTTAAAGATCCAAATAATTGTGAAATTATGTTTCCAACTATTGAGTATATTGAAAAACGAATTAACTTAGCAAGTCAAGAAGGTTTAGATATTACTTTATATCATATAGAATCAGCTCATCCTAATATCTTTGACCTTTTTTAATAAAATCTTTAATTATTTCTTTTTATGAATAGTTATCAATTTTAAAAAAGATATAAAAAACCATAATCAAATTAAAAGGTTTCTGTTTTAATTATGGGGCCTCCCTAATTAATTGATCTTCTTCCAAACAACAGAATTACATTTTAATCCTGAACCAAATCCAATTTGCCAAACTTTATCTCCTTTTTGTAAGGTATGAATTCTTTCAATAAATTTAAATTCATACCAAATAGATGAAGAAGAAGTATTTCCAAATCTATATAAGGCAGCTCTTGAAGGCATGCAATCTTCATCAGTAAGATTTAAATTTTCTTGAAGTCCATCAATAATAGCTCTTCCACCAGCATGAATACAAAATCCTTGGAAAGTCTCTCTGAAATTAGGTTTAAAGATATCTTCTTTCTTTTTCATATTTAATTTATGTTGAATCATATCAATAAGATATAAAAAGATATCTTTCCAACTCATTACCACTGGCATTAATTGATTTAAATTTTGGACTAATGCTCTTGTAACACATTTTAATAAATCTCTTCCAATTTTTACTCCTACTATTCCATCATCATCTTCAGATTGGAAAATACAATTATAAGAATCATCATATTTTTGGTGATTAATTCTAACACTAGTAACTAATTTATATGGTGCAGTAGATGAATACTTTGATTTATTAGATAATAAAATAGCAGCTCCACCCATTCTAAATAAAGTATCAGATAATAACCTTCCTTTTTCTTGTCCAGGATACCACCCTCTAGTAATACATTCAGTAGAATAAACTAAAATATTAATATTTTTATTACATCTTAATAAATCTCTTGCTAAATCAATAGAGATTAATCCAGCGGAACATCCCATTCCACCTAATGAATAATTTTTACATGTTTCTTTCATTTTGTAAATATTCATAATCATTGCAGATAGTGATGGAGTTGGAGCAAACATAGAACAATTAGTAATTACAAAGTCAATATCTTTTTGTGGATCAATCTTTAATTTATTAAATAATTCATCACAGGCAATTTTAATATTTATCTCCATCTCATATCTTGAAGATTTATATGTATCATCAGGTGGAACAGTATGAAATGCTGGTGGTAAATAAGTATGATCACCTAATCCTGTTCTATGAATTAAACGTGATAGAAAATCTAATGATTTTGGATTAAAACGTTTAATGTCTTCAGTAAATTTTTGAAATTGTTCATTTGTTGTTGCAAGTTCTTCTGGTGGTTTAGCAGTACAAAACCCAACAAGATAAACTGATGGTTCTTTTTTTGCAATAAAATAAATCATTACAATAAAAAGAATAGAAAATATAGAAGCAGAGATACATAAGGCTTTTGCGTTTTGTTGAGAGAAGATAGGGAAAGAAAGGTCGTATAATCCATATAATTGTTTTGAACCAACAAAAACAATTGAAGCAACAAATATTACTCCTAAGAGTTTTACAATGAAATCAATAATTATTGTGTTAATACCAGACCTTTTTACATTAGCCTTTAAATATGGTAACACTTCATTTTCTTCGTTATCAAACATTGGATACCAATAAGGTTTTAATGAACGATCAGCCTTATCAGAAGTACTCATTTTAAAATGAATTCTGAGATGAAACTCCTTTGTTTGTTTAAATAATAAAGAAAGTCAATTTGGTTCTTCTACCTTTACTTTTTCTGGGGAGAAAGTTTTCAGGGTTTCAATGAGAGAAAGAATCGATGATGGAATAACAATTTTTGGTAATAGTAATTTTTAATATTGAATGGCTCATCTCTTTTTCATCTAAAATAATAAAAACAGATGTCAGTATTATTTTAAAGAATAATACATTCATATCTCAAAGCAATTAATTTTTATACTTTTAAGTAATATTTATAATGAATTATTCTATAACATTTATTTAAAAAGAATATTATTTTGTGAATTATAAATAGAAAAATAGAATTGCTTTTTCAAACCAGAAAATTAATTAATTTTATTTATCATAATATCTTATTTCAATCTTATTGAGATTTAATTTTTTAAGGATTTTTCTTTTTTTTTTGAGGGGTAATTAGTTTTGATTTATTGTAAATTTAGAAAATTTGTGATAATTTGGAATTTTATATTTATTCTTTTAATAAATCATCATCATTTTTTAAAATGTAATTTCTTTGATACAACTCCATCTTTTTTCCTATTTTCTAGATTTTTTGAGTTTTCTTTCTTTGGTTTCTTTTCGAGTTTTTCTTTTTCATTTAACTTTAGAAAATCTTTCATTTCTTTAGATGAAGGAAGTGTTTGGATACACTCACTCTTTAAATTAATTTCTTTTTCTTTATTTAAAAATGGTTTTTGATATAAGGTATAGTATAATGCCTTTTGTTCTTCTTTTTCTGTGTGTTGTTTATTGATTAGTCTTTCTTGTTCTTTGTCAAGATATTTTTGAAACCAAGATTGATGACATTTAGTTGTTCCTCCAAGATAATGAGATTCATTTTGGTTTCCTCTTAATGTATCCCAGTCAAAGTCTTTAGTATGTCGTGCAGACATAAAATACTTTGATTGAATTTTTTGAGTTCTTCTCTTAACAGTAAAATTTATGTTTTGTTTTATATTGCACAAATATTAAATTATTATCAAAAACAAAAAGCAAAAAATATTAAAAAAAAAACGAAAAATAAGAATTTTAATTAAATTTAGATATATGAGAGAAAAGAAATGACAAATTAAGAAAATAGCAAAAAAACGATGGAATAAAAAAAAGAAATGGTTTATTTAGGTGAACTTTAAAATAAGAAATTAAGTCACAAATGAACTTAGAAGACTTTGAAGTAATAGATAAAGACGGAAATTTTACAGAAGTAGATTTTAAGATTGAGCAACCTACTAAAGAGAATGAAGAGCCACTTGATCAAAGAAGAAGAATTATAAATGAAATATATGATACTGAAGAATCATATGTACAAGGATTAAAATTATGTATCAAATATTATTATGAACCATTAAATGAAAATAAAGGTATTATTCCAAAAAATAAATTGGATGTTATTTTCCTTCATTTTCCAGATGTTCAATCTATGAATTCTTCATTTTTTGAACAATTAAAAGAACAAAAAGAAAAAGGAAAATTATATGATTGTATTGGTTCAATATTTGTTGAATTTAGTCATTTTTTTAAGGTTTATAAATTAATCGTTGGAAATTCTGAAGCTGTTTTAGCAGTTTTAAAAGATGTATGTAGTTCTCCTCATGTAAGTAGATATTTAGAACAACAAAGACTTCGTATTAATGCTAAGGTTCAATTAGATCTTCGTTCATATTTAATTACACCAGTACAAAGATTACCTCGATATAATCTTTTATTAAATGAATTATTAAAACACACCCCAACAGACCATCCTGATTATAACAATATAGTTAGTGCATTAATTTTTTTAAAAGAATGTACTCAATATGCTAATGACAGTGTTAAAGAAAGAGAAAGAAGAGATAAATTAATAACAATTGCTAAAACATGTGAAGGTGCAACAGCTGAATCAATTGTAAAACCTGGAAGATCATTTGTTAAATCAGGAGAAGTATTAGAAATAGGAAAGAAAATTAATAAGCCAAGATTTATTTATTTATTTAATGATATGTTAATGTATGGTATTGGAGATGAAAGAAAATTAAGTGTTATTGGAATGTATAATATTGAAAGTATTATGATTAAAGATATTAAAGATTCTCCTAATTCTCTTCATTGTTTTAGAATTCTTAGTTTAAGTTCGTCTGAAGTTGATATTACTTTTCAATGCGAAACTGAAGAAGAAAAAAAGGCATGGTTTGATAGTATAAATAATGCAGCCCAAGATGAAAGAAGCAGGTTATTAACATTAAGAAATGAGATTACAATTAACTCAACTACTGTATGGATTCCTGATGAAGAGGCAAATGAGTGTATGAGATGTGGAACTCCATTTACATTGTTTTTCCGTAAACATCATTGTAGAAATTGTGGATATATAATTTGTGCCAATTGTAGAACTCGTTGTAAAGTACCAAAATTAGGAAGGGTAGATTATGTATGTCTTAAGTGTTATGACGAGCTTCAGGTAGAAAATAAAAGAAGAAACTCTCTCTCTTCAAATCAACCTCAACAAATAGTTAAAGATACTATTTCTTCCTCTGCTTTACCTGAACCATCAAAACAATTTAATAATCCTACTTCTTCAATTAATAATACTATTAATCAAGAACCAACTCCTTCTATTGTAAAATCATCTACTAATGATATACAAATAAATAAACAAACCTCGCATTTACCACCTTTACCAACTCCTTCTCATCACAAAACAGAAAGTTGTCAAGTTCAATTTAGCTTACCTTCTAAACCATCTGATTTGTCTTCTCAGTCATTAAAAAAAATTCAACAACCATCACAGCTATCTTCATCAGAGCCACCTCACTCTTCTACAATGAAACAAAAATCTTTAAAACAAGACACTTCTATAACAACACCTGAACCACTCGATAGTTCAACTGATAAAAAAGAAGTTCAACCAATTAAAAGAGCTCAACCTTCTATTCCTCAAAGACAACAATCAAATTCTAGTATTCAAAAAACAAAACCTCAACTTCCTTCTCGTGGAAATACAACCAATCCTTCTTCAACAATAACAAATTCAAAACCTTTGGTCCCAAGTAGAACTCTCCCAAAAGTTAATACACAAACAACAACACCAAATGTTGATGGAACACAACACGAAAATAACTCATTTAAAGAAAGACTTGCCATGTTCCAACAACAAAGTTCTCAAACAGAAAAACCAACATTACCAATTAGACGTAAAGCGAATCCACCAATAAATTAATTTAATAAATTTTACATAAAGGTTTTTTGTTTAAATTTTTTTAAATTAAACAAAAAAAAATTGGAATTGTTTAATAGAAGATATTTTGAAAACTTGTTTAATACTTTCTCAGTTAATAATCAATCATTACTTTTTTAAAATAAAATTTAATATTAAAAATAAGTTTTTAAAAACTTATTTTTTTTTAAAGAATTAAAATTAAATACATTCAAAATAAGAATAAGAAGTTGGATATTAGTTGTTTGGCAAATCTTTTTACTACAAAGATTTTATTATTTTCTAGTGGTTACATAAAAATAATATTGTTTCTAGTTATATATAAGAAAATTGGTTCATTTTTCTATTGGTTTTGTTATTTTATTTTTTTTTATTATTCATGAAGATAATATTTTTTGGGGGGAGTTTCTTGAAATACATTATTTGTTTTTATCTTTTTTATCTTTGTCAATAATAAAATCAAACAATTTTTAAAGGATTTTTTTAATTACTTCTTTTTGACGTTCAGTAATGCAATAGAATACAAAAAAGATCAATAATTTAATGTATTTCAATTACAACTTATTTTTGTTTTTTTTTTATGAAAGTCATATAGTCATCATTTGTTGAATTAATGACACTAATAATTGGTAATAATTTTGCTGAAATTATTGGAAAAAAAAACATGAAATAAAAATAATAACAAGTCCTTGAAGAGAAACTAAATTCTTAAAGTTGCTTAACAATTATTTTTGGAGGAATTATTAGAAGTATTTATATTTGATTAAACTTTTTGATAATTATGATATTTTTATTACCATTTATTGGAAAAATGTTTAGACTCTTTTACAGAATTTTATTTACTATCACAAATAAATATTTTATTCAATTTCCAAATATTAATTATTGGATCTTTCTTAATTTAAAATTAAAAATTATTCAATTTTATGATTTAATTTTGTTATATAAGATGAAACAACTGATTTACATTCCCATTGATTGATCACCTTGATATGCCCCTGAAATATAACTCCCACCAAAGTTTTCTTGATATATATCTTGAGTAAATTGTTGTTGAGGAACTTGTTGTATTGGAGTAGTTTCAGGTTGAACAGTATTTGATACAGTAAGATGTTTTTGAATAAGTTCATTAAAACGAGCTATTTGACCTATATATTAAATACAAATAGATTATAAATTAAAAACAAATCAAACCTTTTATTGTTAAACGGATTTCATAAGCTTTAAAATAATTTGGATTTTGTTCTTTTAATTTAGTTAATATATAAATTGTCATTTCAGTTGGAATACTTTTCTTTTCTAATTCTCTAATAATTTCATCATCTGTATAATAAAACTGTAAATATTGTTCAATCATGCTTTGTAACAGAGTTATATCCATAAGACTATTTTGTAGTTGTTGTACTTGTGGTTGAATATATTCTGATTGATATCCTACTCTTGGTTGATATATTGGTTGTCCTTGATATTGAACAGGAACTTGTTGATTAGGGAATGTTTGGTATTGTGGTTGTTGATATCTTTGTTGTTGATGACTTCTATCAATTGGTTGTTGGGGAGTACTAATAGAGTTAGAAATAACAGATCCATTTGTATTAGGATTCATTCTACTCACTTATCAATTTTTTAGTTTCTTTTTTCTATTGTTTTTTCTTTTTATTGTTGTTATTTTGTTAACTTTTTTTGTATTATTTCTAATTTTTTACCATTCTTCTTTAGTTCTTCTTCATTTTTGAAATAGTTTTTATTTTTTCTCTTTTCAAACGAAATCCTTTTTATTTATTCTTCTTTTTTCGTTTTCATACATTAAAATTAACTTATGTAATATAAAACAATTTTTATTATAAAATCTCTTTTCTTTTTATTTCTTTTGATTGGTGTTTTCTCATAAGAAAGAGTCAGATAAATCAAGGGTGTCATCACTTGAGCAAATATTCCCATCATTTTTAATTTCTCCGAATTCTATAAGAAATGAAAATGATTCACTGTCTTTACTAATATATGTTTCTCCATTAATCCCAATGAAATTATTAATACCAATAATATTACGGATAGCACTTAATTGTTTTTGATTGAGAATAATTATTGTTCCTAGTGGAAATGACTCATCACTACCATGAAATTTAATTCCTCTCTGTAATTGTCTATATACAATATTGTTCAATCCACTTGGATTACAAATAATTCTTAGTTTTTTATTTTCTTCATTTTGGTTAGTTTCCATTAAATTTTGATATACAACAACATGTTCTGGTTCCATAATATATTTAGATATTGCTTCTTTGATTTCTTTTTCTCTTTCATTACATACAACAGTTAGGCATTTATTATTTTTAATAATATTAATAACTTCTTCTTTAAATTTTTGTACTTCATGTTCGTTAATGTTCCATTTAATTTTGTCATCACTTTTCTTGACTCTTTTTCTTTTTTCATTTACTTCTTTATCATTAATTAATTTTTTTGGTTTTATTGTTTTCGTTTTCTTTGTTTCTTTCTTTTTCATTTTCTTTTCACAAACAACCTTTTCTTCTTCAACCTTTTTTACCTCTTTACTAACTTCCTGTTCTATTAATTTTATTCTCTTTTTTCTTTCCCTTTCTTGAACTAATAATGGATTTTCTACTTCAGATAATAAACTCTTTCTTTTAGGTGGAGTAATTATTGAATTATTTTCAATACTACTACTTATTACATTAAATTGAATCTCTTCTGTGTTTCGTTCAATTTCACTTGAAATGATATTATCATCTTTTTTTCCATTTTCTTCAATTAATGTAGATAATGTATTTTCTTCATGAGTTTCTGTTACTAATTCACTTTGATTATCATTTGTTTGTGTTAATTCGATAGTTTTTATTTCGGTAATGCTTTGTTCAGTAATAACACTTTTATTATCTACTTTTTTTTCTTTTTCTTCAATTTGAGTAATTTGTTCTTCTCTCTTTATAGATTTCTTAGACCTTATACTGTTTTGTTTTGCTTTGATTGTTTGTTCAATTTCCACCAACTTGGATTGTTTAGGAGTTCTATCAATCTCATATCTGATATTATTTTCAATCACAAATTGGATATACTTTTTTGCCATTTGGTTAAAGGAGATTTTCTTGTTTTCAGTAAGATCTATGATTTCAAGTATTTGATTATCTATTTGAACATACTTCCTAATAGACAAACTATATGCTTTCTTCATTGTGAAAATAGTTTGAAATCCAAAGTATTTATCTTGAAATTCAATCATCCAAAACCATTCAGTAAATGGATATCCTTTAAACTGTGTTATATAATATTCCTTTAATCCATTAATTCCTGTTTCAATATTGTCTCCTAATAATTTTGTTTCTCCTTCTATTCGGAATGCATAAAATGAACGTTTCATAATAGGAAAGTAAAATTTTAGGTTATTTTGCATTTTGTACTATGAATAGTAAATAAAGTTCTTGTTTCGAACTTAGAATTTTTTAGTTTCAATATAATAAATCAATTATGCTTGGTATTTATGTTCATTCAAGAAGTTTTGAACATCCCCTGTTACTGAACAAATGAGGTAGTCGGCATAAAAGTAAATTCCAACAACTACTGTATTTAGTCCAAATAGCCATACCCCAGCCAATGTTGTTGTAAATAACATAAATAATACTGTCAATCCAGCACAAATAAATAACATTGATTTATATGAAATATAATCCAAAATGAAATAAAATTTAGGAGATATACAAATGCACAACAAAAATAATACCGATGAAATAAATTCTAAAAGAGATACAATATATCCATTTTTAATAGAAGACAAAATGTAATGTATATCATTTGAACAAAACTCTTCTCCACCAAATCCATTAACAAACAAGGTCCTTAAGGCAATGATAAGTTTGAGTATAGATAATATCAACGCAAACACTAGAGCCACTCTTCTGAAAATGTCTGACGTTTTTTGGTCTTTTTCTTCTATTTTCTCAATCTCCTGAATCTCCCCTAATTGTCAGCGATCTCATTGACATCATCTCAATCTATTAAAACAAACGATAATTATTTTCCATAATTTGGCGTTGACGTAACTCTTTGGATGACATTAAAAAAAAATAGTTTTAGTTCAACTTTTCTTAAGAAAGAAATTCCAGAAAAAACAGTTAAGAAGAATTAGATTTGCTTATTTTTTCCAAAAGTGTTGAGATGAAAAGGAACTTTACAGAGAGGACAAAATGAATGGCAACGAATCCACTCATCAATACAACTACTGTGAAAATAATGTTTACAGGGAAGAAGTTTCATTGATTCGTTTTCATGAAAAGGTTCCATACAAATTGGACATTCATTGTAATGATATTTTGTAGTTGAATTATATTTAATTAGTGGAAAATTAAAATGATAATTGATTTCATTCTCATTGAATGATAATTCTTCAAATAAGTCAATAAAATGTGGAGGGGATGTTGTTATTTGCATACATTCCCAGAGATCTATCAGTGCAATAACAGATATCGAGAGTTTTAAATAAATCATTCCACCAATATCAAGGGATAATAATAATATCATAGTTGATAAATAGAAATGGGATATTCTTTCAACTGAGGTTAAAAGGACACATGTTTGTAATGATGGGAGACATAAAACAATAGTGAATATTACAATTAATCCTTTACATAAAGACCAAAAATATATGAGATATATTTTGGCTGAAAAGATTGATGGTGTTTCAAGAATAAGTTCGGATATGATAACAGTCATTTCAAGAACTTTTATTGTAATGTTTGTGATGACATCAATTGTTGAATCTATTATATCTATCTGATATAACATTAAACGTACTTCTTCCTGAGAAGAGTTTAAAAGAGGGTGAATGATACAAGAAATAAATGAAATGAAAAGACAGAACCAAACAATCACAATATAATTTTCACATTTAAACTCTTTATATAATAGCATAATTGTATTATTTTTTATTCATTCATTTTATTATTTTGATTGTTGTTGTAAATAATTATATTATACAACAATTATGAAAAGATTTATTATTATGGTATGATTCACTTTATTTTGATGTTATTAAATTTAGATTAATATTGTTTAGACAATAGTATGTTACACTTTATCAATAGGAGTTATGTCTAAGTATTGAAACAGAGTCTATTCATTGATTATCCTTTAGTTACATATTAACAGAATAAGAATAGTCAATGAAAATTATGAGATTTTATTACTGATATTTAATAAAGATTTAAGAATAAAAACGTCATACATTAATCAACAAATAAAAATGATTATTTATAAATTAATAAATACATGATTGTATTGTAAATAACACTTTGTTTATTAATTTCATTTATTATCATTAAAAGACTATTTTATCAGATAGTTCTAATACAAGACTAAAGATTAATGATAAATCTTATTCGTATTAACTCTTTTATTCTGAAATTACTTATAAATAATAAATACCTTAAAAATAATAATGGTAATATTAGAAATCTTTCATAATTTCATAATAAACAAAATCATATGTTCATTGAGTCTATAAACTTTAAAGCTCTTGAAATAATAATAGTGTTATCAAACAAAACATCACATAGAGTTTTTTCTAAAATGGATATTGTTAAATTTAACAAAATATAGTAATATTTTTTATTAGATGTAGTTTAAAACATATAAAACACAGTAGTGGTAGGTTGAATGATATAGGTTAGTGTAAAATTCAATTAAGAGATGAGGATTGGTGAGGTAAAATTATAAATAATAAAGAAAAAAAGATAGAAAAAATATAATAAAAAATAATAATTAGATAGAAATGAATAAATGACGAATAACTAGAACTGTAAAATTATAGAAAAGAAAAATGTCATCAAACCAAATGAGACAAAGAAGAATTGCCCAAGAAACAAAAAACATATTGAAAAACCCACCAACTGGAATTAAAGTAACTATCGATGAAAATAACATAGATTATTGGAAAGCAATTATTGATGGACCACCAGATACTCCATATGAAGGAGGTAAATTTGCATTAGATGTTTTTCTTCCAGAGAATTATCCTTATAGTCCACCAATAATCAAATTTGCCACTAAAGTTTATCACCCTAACATTTCATTTTTTGGAAAGATTTGTTTGGATACATTAAAGCCTCAAGGATGGGTATGTGCAATGCAAATCTCCTCTGTTTTACAAACAATCCAACAATTACTTGCTAGTCCAAACTTAGAAGATCCATTAAATTTGGAAGTCAATAATTTATGGTTATCTAATCCTGAACAAGCCAAAAGCAATGCTCGTAATTACACTCAAAAATATGCACATGCACAATAATTGAATATTATCATATATCTTTTTCTTATTTTTCATACCAAATATACTTTAGTATGATATATAATTTGAATTAAACAATTTTGTTAATAAAAACAAACACAAATAATATCAGAGTAATAATAATTGTCTAATTCTTTTGACAAAATATACAACTGATTAGAAATGGTTGATAAATTAATTTTAAAAATACAATGATTAGTTCGTCATATCACTTAATTTTTCTTGGTACTTGGTTCTTCTTCTCCATCCTTATTATATTTTATATTTTCTTTCTTCTTTTCAGCTTTTATATTAACTAAGTATTAAAAATTAGAATACTAACTCTATTTATTTTATTTTTTTTTCCTTCTTTCTTTATGTTTAATGAATACCCTGTTATTATATTGTATTTTAAAGTTAATAATCTTATAACAATGCTCATATTTTTGTGATTACAACAATTCTTAGGTATTGAATCTGTTAAATATTTGAATATATTTTACTTGAATATTATTTGAGTAATATGTAACATCATATGTTTGGATCTTATGTTAATTTAATATCAATTATTGTATTTTTCAGAATTGTTAATTATTTCAGTTTTCATATAACTATTGAATTATAATAATGAGTGTTATCTACACAATATACAACATTTATAATATTAAAATGATCATGTGATTAATTTTAATTTACTTTGTATTTATGCAAGAAATTAAAGTCATTGACTTCATTCTTCTTTTATTTTCATTACCAACTATAAAACACTTAAATGTATTTTTTTAATGAAAAAATAATGAGAGATATGACATTTTAATATCTATTCAAAATAAAACAAGTTGTTATATAACAAAACAAGAAGATATTTGATATTTATAAAATTGTTCATTTGTTATCTTAAACTAAATACAAAATAACTTTCATTTATCTTTTATTCATCCTCTACAATTTAATTCGATTAATAATTGTTTCCATTGATGTACAAATTCTTCTTTATTTTGTTTTGACCAAACAATATTTTCAATTCTCCTCATTACTTTTTCATCACAACCCCTTCCATTGTTAATCATTTCTTTAAGAATACAAACACATCCATTTTCATCAATAACCATCATTTTTCTAATATTTTCAATTACACCTTTCTTATTAAATATACATTCAGCACTAGTATTGATTAATCCAATAACTATTGAATTGTATTTTTCTTTAACAATTCCCATTAAATTAATATTTCTCATAATAAATGATTTTGTCAATAAAATATTTAATGCTTCAGTACTCTCTTCGTTAATATGTTTATTATGATGTTGATTTCCCCAATTAATTAAATCAATCAAATAAAACATATCTTGTGGATTAGATTCACAAATTATCTCTGAACAATATTCAATGACAATTCGAATGAATGAAAATAATGCTTCTCTTATATCTGGATAACTAATATTATCTTTTTGTATAATTTCAATAGTCTTTTCAATTATATAATGATAATATACACTTATTTGTTTTTTACTTTCTTCTTCAAGTTCATTAATAAGATGATAATATATCCAAATTACTGTACTATCTCGTTCTTCTTTATTTCTTATACAATATCCTTCTATAATTATTCCATTATATTCTTCAATAAATTTTCTTCTTTCTTGATTTGTTATTATTTTAATATAATTAATAAGTATTTCATTAATTCTTCTTATAATTTCATTGAACATTCTTCTACTAATATTCTCTTCATTTTTTTCTTTAATTATTTGATTAATCTTATTATAAATAATCATTAAATTATCAATATTTTCTTTCATATATTCTTTATTAGTTGTATTTCCTCCTTTAAAATACCATTTCATTCTTTCTATACTTTCTATTACTTCTTTTTCATTAAAAACTTCTTCACTTATTAATCTTTTTATATTTTGTTTAATATTTTTTACAATCTTACCAATAATTAATTCTCCATATTCTTTTACCCTTTCTATTGGAAGATATTTTGAAATAATTCCAAGACTTTCATACATTCCTTCTTGTTCTTCTTCATTTAATATTTTTATTATTCCTTCAATTCTCTCAAAATTCATATAACTAATAATCCCCATTTTATAATATACTATTCCACAATTATCATGTAATTTTTTTAGACTTATTATTACTTTCTTTCTAATTTCTCCTTCTTCATTAATAATAATTTCTTCCATTTTTTTAATTATAACTTTTAACATCTCATTACTTTTTATCATCACTTCATAACTACCATCAATTATTTCAAGAATCCCTTCAAAGAGTTTAATTCGATTTATTTTGTTTTTCTCATTTTCTATTTTATCTATCAAAATATCATTCATCTTAACAAAGATAATCCTTCTAATTTCAATATCATATTTTTTCATTATTTGTGAAATATAATAACTTATTGATTTAATTTCTGTACTATTATTACTTTCTATTATTTCTTCAATCATTTTTTCTACATACATTGGTTCAATATCAAAGATATAATTAATAATTCTTTCTGTACATTCATTAATTAATCCTAATATATCTTCTATCTTTCTCTTTTTTTTAATTCCCTTTTCAATTACTTTTATTTCTTCTTTCTTTTCTTCATGTCGTTTAATTATTTCTTTACCAATAATTAAATGATATTTTTCTTCTCGTTTATTTATTGTTTCATTATTCTTTCTCAAATAAAATTCAATCCCATCAATGATATTATAATAAATTTCTTTATCTTCTATTTTCATACAATTTATTAAATATTTAATTCCTTCTTCTATTTCTGTTCTTCTTTTAATATTATCACTACATTTTATTAACTTAGTTATAATCATTACTTCTTTCATTATATTAATTTTTCCTTCAATTCTAAAACTTCTTTCTTTTATTTCGTTTATTTTATTACTCTCTCTAATATACTTCATAAAATACCATATCATCTCATTACCTTCTTTATTTCCTTCAATTAGATTATATATACATTCATTTCCTTCTTTCTCAATATTCTCATTTCTTCTTCTTTTCATAATATTGATAATTCTTTCCATCATCTTCATTTCTTTCTTTTCTTCTTCTGGCATCATTTTGATATAGTCTTGTACAGTTTTGAGACTATGTTCAACCATTTCATTGTCTTCACTACTTTCACTTACTTTCATCAAATATTCAATAATTTTCTTTCTATGTTCTCCAATATCAATTCTTCTTCCAGTTATTCTTGTTTCTTTCTCAATTTCTTCACTCAATATTTTAAATATGTCAATTGAATTTTTGCATTTCTTTTCATTAATAAATCCATTTCTAATAATATCCTCACTGAATGTAAACCATATTGTATCCCATTCTTTCATAATAAATATTACAATAATTTCATTCATTTTATTAATCAATCCATATTCTTCTTCATTACATACCTTATTTATTTGTTCACTAACATATTCTTTTATTCCTTTCTTAGTTTCTTCTCCTATACTATTCCATCCACCTTCTAGTCTTCTCTTTAAAATATCCATTGCATACATTTTTGTTATTACGCTTTGACTAATTTCCATTATTCCTGGAACTTTTAAGTATGTATCACTCCTATTGATAAATTCAAGTAATATCATTTGCGCTTTCTTCATTTCTTCAATGTCTCTTGTTTGAACGGCTGAACCAACAACTTTATCCAATAATGAGACATCGAAAGGAATATTCACATTCAATATATTCTCCATTTGTTTTCTTTTTGTTTTTTCTCTTTTATTTTTTAATTTTTTTAGTTTTTTGTTTTAAAAGAAGAAAAAAAGGATAAATAAAATAAAGAGAATGATAATTTGTATTTTAGTTGTTCCTTGTGTTTTGTTTGTGTTTCTCTTTTATTATTATATTTGTCTTTCTTGTTTGATTTCTTGTTGTGTTCTTTCTATGTGATTTCTGTTGTTTGAAATTCGTATATTAAGATACTTTTAGATTAATTCTTGTTTTGTTGTATCTGCTCCTTCTCTCTTCTTGTTCATTAATTCTTATTCATTTGTTAATGAAATGAATGTAGTGATAAACAGATTAATCACAACAAATAACAGAAACACAAACAGTAAATCAATAAGAAATCCATTGTATCAACCAATAACAACAATACGACACGAAAATAACAATAAAAGTGAAGTATCAAATAATAATAACACACTCTCTGAGGATTGAATAATATTATTAATGAATAGATTTATGAAAATGAATAATAGAATATAACTTTCTATTAATCTTAAATAATTAGTTTTTATTAAAAGATGATTTGAACTTTAATTGAAAAAATATAGTATTTGATGATAAATTTTATTATAGTCAAATAATAAAAAAAGAATCTGTAAATGAATATAAACATTTATTAAGAAGAAGTATGTCAGCCCCAAAGCCAATTCCATTGTCATCTCTCTCTCCAAGAGACCTTGCTGGCTTACATAAAACTCTTCAAAACGAATTACAAAACCTTCAAGAAAGTTATGAACAATTATTTTCAGTTCAACAAACCTATTTAGATAATAAAGATATTATTAAAACATTGACAAATGAAAAAGTAAAAGGTCAACCAATGCTTGTACCAATGAATTCTTCACTTTATATGAAAGGAGAGATTGATAGTTATGACCGTGTTATTATTGATATTGGTGCTAATTATTTTGTATCAAAAGTTTGTTTTTTAGTAATAAGGAGTTGTTGTTAAACCAATAACCAATAGAAATTATCTGCTGCTTTGGAGTTTTATGATAGAAAAATTAAGCTCGTTGAAGGAGAAAAGGAAAAAATTTTAAAAATTGTTAGTGACAGAAAACAAATGATTGCTGCTGTTCAAGAGCAGATGGCAAAAACACTAGCTGCTGCTCCATCAAAATAAGTAAATTTAATACTTTTCATAACAAATATACTCAATTTTATTTCTTTTTTTTAAAAACTTGCCACATACCATACTGCATGGATTTGTGCTGGGAACCAACAGATTAAACAGAGAATAATATTAATCCAGAGATGTGTGGTACATCCTCCTAATAAACCAACAGCTAATGGTGGAAGGATGATAGCTAAAATCACCCATAGAAAACATCTACAACCACATTCCATTTTATTTAATTTGATATATCTTCTTAAAGCAAGTGTCTTAATAGATGTTGTCCTTTCTGTTATTTTTATTTTCTCAATCTTATCTAATAATCATATTTCTAAGATGGATTTCATTGATGAACAGACACTTCTTAATCCAGAAACTTTACAACAAACAAGTGAATTTGCTTTAGAAAAACCATGTATTTGTTTTCATTTGTCTCTTCGAGCTGTTTGTATTTTTTTTTATTAACTAATGACATAAAATAATCATAATATTTAATTCTAGAGAATTTTTGGATTTTTATGTACATTTACTTTTGGTGGTGTGTTTTTGATTCTTTGTATCCCTCTTCTTGGAACATTACTTGTAGCCCCCTCTGTTTTTGGTATTTTCTATTCTATGGGACTTATTCTACTTTTTAGTTCAATGCTTTTCCTTTATGGACCAAAACAACAATTCTTAAAACTATTTAGTTCTCCTCTTCGTTGCATTTCATTCTTTGTGTGTATAATTGCTACAATATTTACTTTCTTCTGTGTATTTAAATTCAGATATATTTTATTCATTCTATTGTCTATCCTTCTTCAGTTAGGAGCATCTATGTGCTATGGATTTTCACTTTTACCATTCTCACAAAGTTTGACAGAACGTTGTTTTAAGAAACAATCAACTAATTAAACAGTTCATCTATTAAACTTAATTTTGTTTAGTTCCTTTCCTATACACACCTAAAATCTCAAAAGTATGATCTTAAAATGTTTAAAGTAAAACGTTCATGGAACCATTGAATCTTGAAAAGAAGATTGTTATCACATTCACTGGAGCTCCTGGAATTGGAAAGAGTCAACTGATAAGTGTTATGACAAGTGGAAGATTTACTAGTCAATATGAACCAACTATTCAAGAACATTATACTATGAAATTGGTAGAAGGAAATAATATCTTCAATCTTACTATTGTAGACACATCAGGATCACCAGATTATTCTAAGCTTGCATCAGGGGCAATTGGAAATAGTGATTGTATTGTAGTTTGTTATTGTCCTTATATTCCTAAATCATTTGATAGAGTGGTAGAAGTTATTAAAGAAGTGAGGACAATAGCAGATGACATACCAATTATCGTTGTTGCTACTAAAATGGATTTGAAAGATGACAAAGTAACAATGAACAAAATTGGTAAACAAAAGATTCGAATGGTAAAAGATTTGAAAAGTGAATTAAAGAAAAGCAAAATTTCAGGATTCTTTGAAACATCTGCAATAAGTGGAAATTCTTATAAAGAAATATTAGAGACTGCAATTAAATATACTCAAAAATCATCTCTTTGGAAGAAAAAACAATAATTTATGTTTTAGTTTAACCAATGACAAATCTTTTTCATCATACTATAATATGAATAACCAAATTCTGATCAACACTTCAAAATAATCAAAATTATAAATGAAATAAAAATCAGAGAGATGGCCATGCGTAACAAGTTGTGGACGGCCTTTATCTTCATAAGAAGATTATACTCACTCATCATTTTATTTGAACCTGAAGGATCTAACTTTTTCTTCTTTTTTTCCTTTTTTACAGTTTTTTTTTCTTAAATAATTATTATGGGTTTAAATTAAATTGAATTTAATAGTTATTATTTTTTGTTTATTAAATAAAACTACTATTCAAAAAAATCTCTTCTAATTCAAAATTTCTTCAATTTTTATTAAGTATTGACACAATCTAATATTCCTATTGTAAAAAACTAAAACTCATGATAAATACTATTATTCACACTCATACATGTCTTGGTAATAACTTTTAAATTGGAAATTTTAATAAGACAATAAATTATTAGGTTGATAATAACGTTCTGTTATAAAGAATTTTTAAAATAAATTCAGATTGAATAAAATTCATAAAAGAAAATGTTAAATTAACATTTTCTCAAACATTATGTTCTTGTTAATTTTATGTTAAAAATCTTATTTTTTTTAGAATGAAACTAAATTATATTTTTATAATTCATTTAATTTGTAGCTTTCTTTGAAAGGTTATACAATAATCTATCTTTGTTTTAATATAACTTTAAATATTTTAAAATATTACCACTAGTCACAGTGAAGTAAACAGCTTATTTATTATGTTCACAAATAAAAAAAATTTAACCAATAGAGATGTAATTTATTTGAATTGTTTAATTACTAATTTTTTTCTTTTTAACAGTTATCCATCAAAAAATTTATATTGAAAATTTCCTTGTTATGTTTAAATAAAAAAATTTTTTCGATAAAGGTGATACGTCAAAAATATAATAACAAAATAATAATTTTTAATTTTTTGTTTTAAAATCTACCAAAAATAAAAATAGAATTTTTTAGAATGATTAATGAAAAGAGAAAAATTATTTATAAGTTTATTTAGTTTTCTATTTTACAGATTTGAAAAAATAAGAAACGACAGAAACTAGAAACAATAGGAAAAAATATTAAACAAAAATAAAAAGAATGGAAAGAGAAGAAGGGAGAATAGAAGAAGTTAAAAGAAACCTATGATGTCGGGATATATGAGGCTGAGAGAATTATAAGATTTCAATCAATTAATGTCTGGCTCAGAAAACACGTTTGTATTTTATTATATTCGAATTTACCAGCGAGGTTTTGTTCATTTATGAGAAGTGTCCTTTTATTTAAAAATTGAGATGATTGGATTTACAAGCTATTAACTTCGCAAATACTCACACATCTGGCGAGAGAAATGAATTATATCATTAACACAAATTAAAAAGAGATGTTATCTAAAGGAATGAAATAGATCTTCACCCTTTGGTAGCTGCTGTTCTTTCTCGCCTTGATGACTTATTTATAGAGACTCTTAACATAAAAACAAAAAATTAACAGAGATAGTAAGAAACCAAGAACGAAGAAACAAAGTAGAAAATACATTGTTATTAAGTCAAAGAAGGGAAAAAATCCATATATCAAATTTTGCCAAGAAAAGAGAGAAGAAGTTAAAGCTGCTAATCCTGATTTGAAACCAAAAGAAATCACTTCCAAATTAGTTGAAATATGGAATGGAATGAGTGAAGAAGAAAAAGCTAAGTTTAAGCCAAAGCCAAGAGTTGGACCAAAAGGTAAACTTGCTAAAAAAGAAACTCCTGAAGAAAAAAAAGAAGAGACAAAAGAAGAAAAAGAGAAGTAATTAATTTTTGTTTTAAGCAACAAACTAGTGTAGCTTAAATGACTGATTTTCATGTTAGTTTGAGTTAAGGACAACAATTTGTTTAATAAGAATTAAATAATTTTGTTTACAAATTAAATAAGTTTTTGATATTATTTAAATTACAATTTTTTAATTTAAAAAAAATCTTTTAAAAAGTATCAAGAAAAATATGGAAGAAGATGACAAAAAACCTCTTTTTCAATTCTTCAAATCAAAGAAAGATTCTGAGACAGAACAAAATCTGGTTGTTAATGAAGAGAGTTTGGTGATTATCATTTATTAAAAGAAAGAAAATAAGTACTGTTTTTGTGAATAAAGGAATTTATTAACACTATTTTAGAACAAGACAAAAGTATTAGTTCAAAAATTGGTACTTTTATATCAACATTTACTTCAAGTAAACCGTCATCACACAAAACTACAAAATCAAAATCAAAAGAACCTGAACAAACATATCAACCTGCTTATCCAAGAGAATATGACCTTCTTACATCAGGACAATTTCAATCTGAATCAGCTGTTCCTAAAGATACTAGATATATGAATGAAGGTACAACAGAAACAACCGACACAATGGGAAGTGTTAGTAGTTTCTCAACTACATTAGAATTTAATAGAAATACTGTTTTACCAGAAGAAATGGCAGAAAATCAAGAATTTTTTATGGGAAGAAATACCAAAACACCAGAACGATATATGACAATTCGAAATCAAATTATTGATATGTGGAATGAAACAAACCAATT